AATATTTTTCATCTATTAAAAAGCGTCCCTGAATTCTCGAACCCCCGATGACCGATGAAATTACATATCGATATTCCATCATATCTTAATTTAGATCTAGTTTTAATTTCCTTTTAAATTCTTGCACCCCAATTTAGAATTCCATTAGCCTTAGCTTTACATCGCAGCAATAGATAACGGTAGGTTAACATTGGTCTCTGTGGGTTCGATAATCTTTTATATTACTTTGATATTTCTGTGCACTTGCGGAGCTGTCATAAATCACACCTGAAAGATACTTCACTTCTCAAGCGCACAGGCAAGAGACTTCCTTTGCTTAAGAAAACTAGCAAAAAACTTCCTTTTCTCAAGCAAACTAGCAAGAGACTTCCTCTACTTTAAACAAAAATTTAGTTGAAAAGATTGCAACTATACTTTGATACACAATCAAAAGTATAAAAGTATTACAACAACCATAAAGGTTCTTAGTTCTTAAGATTTCTAAGATATACAAAGATAAGAAATCTTAAGATCTTATGCAATAACAGTTATAAACAATAGCTCAAAGTTACGCTCAAGATATTCTGATGTAGTGGTGTAACCTTCCTTCAAATCTTTAGCTTCCTTTTATGGAGGTAGATAAAAGATTCGTTGGAAGGTTGAGTATAAGAGCTTTCTTCTTGAAAAAGCATGCTAAGAGAGACGTTGGAGGATGTATCTGGTTAAAAACATTGTCAAATGAATAAAAGCTTTGTTCATAACATCTTTCAAAATACTAGGTATCTACCAAGAGGTAGAAAAGACTGAGGAGGTCACATCGCTATTCCTTAAGCCTTGCAAAATGAAACCCTAGTATATTCTTCCCAAAAATTCTTGTGCTTGACAAGACTGGTCTGCTTTTGGTACAGTGTATGGATCAGAGACACCTTTGACCTTCAGATTCTGAGCTGTCATCAGAGGCTGGAACATCATTATCAGAGTCTGAAACTTCAAAGGCAGAACCACCTCGTTCAAAGTTTGGCCCTTCAAAGGATGATGAACATGATGAAATTCTAATCTATTAAAATCTGAACCACTTTGCTTCTTCACATGTGCTTTTAATAGGGTTTATTCAGAGTTGAACACTAAGCTTGTGATCCTACACACTTGAACATATGTTAGTAAATTCATTTGTTCTTTAAATACTTTTTATCATCAAAATAAAATGGATATGAACAAGTCTGGTTTCGACAAACTACTAACTTGCAGTATCCTACCAGTGTTGACCCCGTGTTAATCCCGACAGTGGCGGGGAGTGTGCGTGTAGCGAGGTCGGATGGGGGATTTTGAGGCTTAGGTCCGGCCTTCATGGAATTTTTCTTCAGACCCTGACATAACCCTATATCTGGATTTGTAATCATTTCTCTGCTAGTCTACCGACTTCCAATGGAAATTAGAGATCTTGGCGATGAAAATCGTGATTGAGTAGATGATTCATCGAATCGCTTGCTGTGGACCTCGATGTTCGCTTCTTTGTGCTTCTTAATTATGAGATTTGAGAGGGTAGTAAAAATCGTGATTGAGTAGATGATTCATCGAATCGCTTGCTGTGGACCTCGACGTTCGCTTCTTTGTGCTTCTTAATTATGAGATTTGAGAGGGTAGTGAACGATGAAAGCAAATAACGAATATGATTCGCGGGGATCATTGGAGTGAAAAGTCAAACGTCTTTCTGATACGGTAACCTGAGAAGGTTATGAAGTAGTAAATCGGAAGGCAAAACTACTGTCTAGGTCCTTTAAGTTATTTTAAAATATCAATTTAGTCCCTTAAGTTTTTTTTGTAACACTTTGGTCCTTTTTTAAAAATCTCATTTACGATAAATTACAAACTCCTATACTATTTAAACTGATTTTTCGCGCTGATCACGAATATGTAATTAGTTTTGGGTTTGATTGTGTATTTTGATCGGGTCGTTGATTTTTCATTATGTATTTTGTCCATTTTTACCTGATTCTCATGAACTGTACCTTGTTTGATAAATTTGATTGCATATTCGTGATCAGCGCGAAAAACCAGTTCAAATGGTATATGAGTTTACAATTTATTGTAACGGAGATTTTTTAAAAGGGAGCAAAGCGTTACAAAAAAAAACTTAAGGGACTAATTTGATATTTTAAAATAACTTAAAACAATAGTTTTGCATAAATTGGAAACTAGATCTTAAATTGTGGAAATCGTAGGAATCAGAAGTCGATTCCCACAAACGACACGACTATTTTGTTCGAGAATCATAAATGGATGACCTAGCTCTACGAAAGAACCAGAAATGAAGAGAGTTGGATAACTGCTAATCTCAAACAATGGTCGATCTCCGTTACGGCGGAGTATGGTGGATCTACATGGTTAACACTTTAGTGTTGAAGTTTGTTTAAAATTTAAGATGAGTATAATAAAATTGTATATCAGAAATTGTATATTTTTTCATAGTATTTGAATTGTTATTATATTTCAAATGGAATAAAATGTGTTTGAGATGGATTGAACTTCAATCAAGTGAGCTTTTACTATATTTTTTTGGACGCGGTAGTTATAAAATAGGATGAAATTTTTCTTAATTTTCTTTTGGCGGATGTCGCGCCATAACTACAACAATAATTAGAAACTACTAGAAGTCTTACTAGATTTTAATCAACTGCATAATCACTTTACCGTTCCAATCAAAATGAGGCATCCGGTGAATCTTCTTTTTCCTTCAAATCAATTGAAGTTTCCCTTTATTTGGTGGAGAGTCAAAGTTGAAGCTAACATGTAGCAATCACGTTCTTCTTTTTAATTTCTTTAACGTTAATTATCCGTCTAATAAAAAATAATTTATGTATTTTGTTTATTTTAAATAATTGTCCACTTTAAAATATTATTATAATATTTACGATTATTTATATTAATATACTATGATTTATAAAATTTCATTTCATTGGACTATTCTACAATTATTTTTTAATTTTTATTAGGCTCTAGAAAATTACAACTCAACTGCTAAAAAAAATCACTAATCATAATTAGCGTAGGACCATTTTAAATTATCTATGAACTATATATCATGTTGAAGATTGGAACTCACTTTTGGATAATGCAACATTTTTCAGAATAGAAGGTCTCAAAATTGCCTAATTTGTCAATTTGGTCATATACTAAAATTGAAATGTCAATATCAGAATATGTCACAAACCCTGATAAGCAATTAAAAAAAATGAAAATAAAAACATTGGATAAATAAGACCAACTATTGTTGAGGAAAATATTGCTTCTTAGAAGCCACAAAACAGAACCTTTTTAAAAGAAAAGCCTTTGGCATTATTTTAACTTTGCAATTTCCCATTATGAAGCTGAACCTTTTATCTTATAAATCATTTTATTATCCTTTTTTCCCCTTATGGAGAAATTCATTTAACATCATTTAAAATTATGGTTATGTAGCGTAGGAAGAAAGTCATTTAATACGACAAAAAACAAAAGTAACTACTATAACTAGTTATTCATCATAGTTCATCACAACAATTTTACAATATTTTTCAGCTTAGAAAATTTTACAAGAACAATTAACTATAATTGTCTCCAACATTAGGTTGAGGAATAGGTTGTGTATGCATCTTTAATACAATCTTTAAAGAATGTGAGACTATTTTCACCAACTTAAAAAAAAATTGTCCATTGGTCGAGGCTAAAAGACAGCGTGTGAACATCCGACTTCATTTTATAATATTAATGTTTTTGTCGACCTCAAATATGCGTCACTATAACTATGAAATATTGTCTGTTTTGTATGAGAATCCTCACAGTTTTATTTTTAAAAAAAAACGCTTAATTAAAATAAAGAGTGTTATATAAATTATCTTTAATCTCGATTCTATTTATGTAAAATTATTTCAACCAAATCCAAACAAATATAAAAGGTGAAAAATTGATTATTAGAATTATATATATATATATATATATATATATATATATATATATATATATATATATATATATATATATATATATATATATATATATATATATATATATATATATATATATATATATATATACATATATATATATACATATATATATATATATACATATATATATATATATATATATATATATATATATATATATATATATATATATATATACATATATATATATATACATATATATATATATATATATATATATATATATACATATATATATATATATATACATATATATATATATATACATATATATATATATATATATACATATATATATATATATATATATATATATACATATATATATATATATATATATATATATATATATATACATATATATATATATATATATATATATATATATATATATATATATATACATATATATATATATATACATATATATATATATATATATATATATATATATATACATATATATATATATATATATATATATATATATATATATATATATATATATATATATATATATATATATATATATATATATATATATATATATATATATATATATATATATATATATATATATATATATATATATATATATATATATATATATATATATATGCCAAGAGTGAAGTATACACTATATGCTAAAGTTGGAAATCATATCCTTTTCAATCTGTAATGATAAGAAATGGTGCGCTACAAATTGTAATTAGACACACAATTAAGCATCTAATTATGTGATTAATCATCTAACCATGTTTTGGTGTAAAATGGGCCTACACCTTGATGAAAACCACGTTCATGTGGAACAATACAAGGCCCCAACAACAAAAGGAAAAATCAAAAGAAACTAAGAACCAAACAAATGATTATACAAAAGTAAAAGAGAGAAAAGAAAAAAAAAAGTAGAAATGAACTATGTCCCATGCCAACATTCTGTACATTTTTCTCAGCTACAACAACAAGTGTTATTGTTTTGCTGTCTCTTTATAATAATTTGGGTGTTTTCCAACAAGATTAGTTACATTCCAAGAAATGGGAAAGAGAGGAACAAGGTTACCTGGTTTTTGCTTGAACAGAATTAGGCCTCATGCGAGGGTGCGTTCTCCAACTATACAAACCAAGAAAGAAAAAACCGATGATACTAAAACTGATGAGAAAACTGAGAATTCTTCATGCAGTGTTTGTGAGGAGAAATTTGTTGTTGATGATGGTGTGAAACAAGGGTCAGTAACTGGTAGGAAGATTATGATTGTTATTGATTCAAGTTTTGAAGCTAAGAGTGCTTTGCAATGGGCATTAACTCATACCGTTCAGAATCATGATACTATAATTCTTCTTCATGTGATGAAATCTTCTAGACAAGGTGTGTGTGAAACTAAGTAATGATGTCATTCTGTGTTTTATTTTTCTTCAACTGTGGCTTTGTTTATTTTGTGATTAATGAAAATAATCATGAATTGTATGGTTCATTCAATGTGGTAGCCACTGATGATGAAGCTTCTAGAAAGGAAACAGATCCAAGAGCTTATGAACTTGCTTCTTCCTTCAAGAATATGTGTAATGCGAAGATGCCCGAGGTGAGTCTAGTTGAATTTAATTGATACACATTAAAAGTGTAAAGATTTTTTATACAGTCAGTGCATTGATAGTATAAAACTTTTTATATTAAGAGTACATAACAATTAATCTCGAATTTAGTTTTACTATTAAAACTTTTATACTATCTTAAAATTTCGATTAAGATATAATTGAATAATGGAAAAAACTTGAATGTGGAGGAGTTTTTAGATTAAATCACAATTGGTTAAGTTTTTAATTCTAGATTATTATAAATATGAATCAAGATTACATCCTTCAATTTTTTGTCTGATTATTAATGTCAGGGTCGTCTTTGAGATGATGTAAGATGGACACTAATTCAAGATGTCAAAATTTTCATAATAAAATTGAGTAAATAGAATCTTATAATAGTCTATCATTGTTAAATTACATAACTTAACAAAATCTTTATTTATTTTGTTACAATTTAATCTAATTATATTTAATCAACACATAATCGCCGAAAACTTAAGACTGTTCGGATTGGCTTGTTTAATGCAAATGAAGCAGGCATGTTAAATGCAAAAAGTTCCAAATTCAATGTTATTGACAATATTTTATGACTTTACATAAAGGTAATAATTAAATGTTTGAGAGTATATGGTCCTGATAGGTACAAATTGAGATTGCAGCAACAGAAGGGAAAGAGAAGGGAGCAAAAATAGTGGAGGAAGCAAAAAAACATGGCGTGGGACTTTTGGTTTTGGGGCAGAAGAAGAGGTCCACCACATGGCGTCTTCTAATGATGTGGGCAGGTAATAGAGTGACTGGTGGTGTGGTTGAGTATTGTATCCAAAATGCACATTGTATGGCAATTGCTGTGAGAAGAAAGAGCAAGAAAATTGGAGGGTATATGATTACTACTAAACGCCATAAAGATTTCTGGCTCTTGGCTTAATCTATAATCATTTTTTTTTGGAATGGATGTTATCACCTTCAAGATTTTACAAGTGATTAATTATGTTGTTTTTTTGTACATAGTAAAGTGTTATGAAATATGAAAAAGGTATGAATTTGTGAATGGAATGGAGGAATGTGTCATTGTCTATATACTTTTTTTTAGCTGCACAACATTGATAATCTACTATGATCCTTTGAAGCTTGTTCACAAATAAGAATTACACATTGCTTTTGGCTCATACAACTTACAAAGTGAAGTTCATTTGAAGTAAACAAACTTATACTCAAATTAAGATAATTATTGGAATGGTAAAGTCTTAAGAATATCTAATATCATAAAATCGGATTTGGATTGTCTCAAGTGAAAAATAGGCCGGATGAAATAAAATCTTAATCTCCACCATGGACCATCTTAAATTATTTTTATAATATTTAATTAAACAAAATAAAGGAATTAGATTTCACTGCACAATAATGTGACTGATCTCCATAAAATCACATTCAGCTACCATATACATCATAATATCATACAATTATTAATATTTTCTTAAATATTGAAATCCTATGCAAACTACTACTCCCTTCATCTTAAAATGACTAATCCATTTTAATTTTTAATACAATTTTTTTTAGTTACTTTAATCATTTCCAATATATGATAAGGGTGGTTTAGTAAAAATAACATTCTCTTTTTTATTTTTTTTAATATGTGCAAAATGATCAACTAGGTCACTCATTATAAAATGGAAGGAATAATATATTATAAAATCATGTGTCTAGTCTGAATACTCATGCAAATTATTTTGTACATTACCACCATTTTTTTTAAAGTTACATGGTCCTAAAAATATTATGAACATCACTAGTAAAGGTAGAGATGTTCATGGTTGAATTATGACTTATAATTGGTTTTTAAAGTTCATATTACGTTTTGTTAGATTTGTTTATTATCAAATTTATTATATCTGTATAGATCATAAACATAATTCTGATATAATCCCTTTGAGTTTATACTTTGTGAACTCATATCCTTAGAATCCATACCCGAATATAATATGAGAGTGGGAGCGAAAATGTACATGAGTTTGCTATTGAAATTGTTGAAGGTTTGCGGGTATGTGTATAGCACCCTAATTTTTGACCTTAAGATCTCACCTCCTTGTGCACTTTCTTGCATATCATCCTTACTCTTGTACGCGTATTTACTGTGACCAAGGTTGTCAAACTCGCGAGTCTGCTCAGACTCATAAAGGGTCCGTAGACCCGACTCGCAAACTCGTACGAGTCTATGTAAAATTAAAAATGACTTTTTAAAACCTATATGTGACACATACATGACACACACACGTATTTTCAAACATGTAAATACCTCATATATGATACAAAATATATATATATATATATATATATATATATATATATATATATATATATATATATATATATATATATATATATATATATATATATATATATATATATATATATATATATATATATATATATATATATATATATATATATATATATATATATATATATATATATATATATATATATATATATATACCAATTAACATGAAAATATAAATTTCATACTCTATAACAAAGTTCTTAACAAAAAAACTCAATAATAAAATAAACAAAATAGTAAAGTATGTATTTAAAGACTTAAAGTATAAATTTCTTCTTAATTGACTACTATATAATGCAAAAAAATCATAAAACAAATACGCTAATAGATTTAAATATCAAAAACTCCAATAAAATCATCACCACCAATATCATCGTCATCATCTTCATCGGTATCTTGAGTATCATCATAAAATTCTACCCCGGATGAAACACCTTCTTCATAATTAACCAAAGTTGAATTGCTTGAAGTTCCATTTTCACCACCACCATTTTCAACATTTCCACCACCACCACCACCACTTTGCACAATATTAGTAACAACAACATCAACTTCTATAACATTGTTAAAAATAACATCATCTTACTCAATATTAACTTCAGTTTGCATATTTTCTGCATTAGGATCTTCAGTTATCCATTCATCACCTTTACACAAGAGAAACATCTAAGTGAAACATATAAGAAAAATAATTACACAATAAATTATTGATTTACAAGAACAAACGCGAACAAAGCAAGAGAAATCATAAACACACGTCGTCTATGAAGGGATAAAGGGAGGAAGAAACTTTGTTAAAACAAGAGACTAGGAGAAAGGCTTTCTAATTCTCGTAGGAGAAAAAAATAAGGGTATTTTTAAATAAAATAAAATCTTTTAGGGAATTTGGGCCTTTTTTGTGTTAAAAAAAACAAAATTCATAAAAGTTTATAGACTTGTAAAATCACCATAGACTCGCGAGTCTATACGAGTTTATGCGAGTCTACCTAAGTTTACTCGAGTTTATCAAAAAATGATTCTATACGTGAGTCTACTAGTTTTTACTTCATAGACTCGTAAACTCATACGAGTTTACGAGTCTACCCGCGAGTTTGATAACCATGACTGTGACTAATGAGTGTATGCAGGTACATTGATCTTAAGCCTAGACGACTTTAATCCTCATAGAATTCTTTCTCCTTGCCCCACCCTTGGATCAATACTTTTAAAGGATGTCTTGAACAGAATTTCTGGCTATCTCGCAAATTAAGATCGGTTTTGCGACTCATGTGTTACCGAAGCCATTGATTGAAAGAGGACTTATCAAGACGACGGATTTGATACGAGGCATGGGTCATGATGAAAAAGGGAAGGTTGTGGACCCTTTAGGATTAAAATCTTAAGCACATTATTCTCTAGAAATTAATGTCTCCATGGTTATGAGATCCAAGATGCCATACATTTCAAAATTACAAGTCTAAGCACAAATTTGGAATCTCTTCACATTCAAATGCAAAGTATTTCATAAGATCATATTGTTCTCGCTACAAGATTCAAGAAGTTCAAATTTGCTTCAAGATCATGCAATTGGATCGTAGGGAATCCAAATTACAATGGAGTGTATATTTTTATAATTTTCAAGGAAAGTGCCATTTCAAGGTTAAGGTTTTCAAGCATAGTCTTTGTGTTCATCAAATTTCTCAAAGATCAAGTCAAACATAAGTAAGTTTATGAATTATTTGGAGTTTAAGTGCAAGAATCGCAAGCATATGGCACTTTCCATCATTTTGAGTTTTATTATTCAAGTCATCCAAATTCAACTTCCCTGAGTTACAAAATCATGAAGGTTCAAGACTTGAAGATTTATCTCTTGAGGGTATCAACTCAATCTAACTTCAGAGATTTAAATTCATTCAAGACATCATTTATATCAATTCTGAAATTCTAGCAAGTCATTCGCCACTTTGTGTCATTGAAGATTCACCGTGTGCAAGTACTGTTGGTGTAAATTATGCACCAAGTTCAGCCAGAATTCTTAAATAACACAGGCAAGCGCTTATAATTACAATGGGTACTGGCATTGGAAGTGGAAAGCTATAAGTTATTGTTGCTCAAATTACAACCGATCCAGGAGGTGTTAACATGCCACGTATATCTTAAAATGTCTATGCTATTTTGATATATTTGATCGCGACTTTTTGAGTCTAACTGAACTAACTGCAAGTGCACAGTCTATCGCGTAGTAATAAAATATCGATCCCACAGGGACTCGTAATCAATCTAGTGTTATCGGGTGTTACTATGTTTAGCTAGGTTGGAATGAGGTTCTAAGGAATTCAATGCGGAAGTAAAGGCTAAATTTAAAGAAGAATTATTTGGTTAAGGAACAATAATAGGGGACCTCGGCATGTAATACTTTAGTTTTCGGGGATTCGACACATCGCAGGTGCAGTTTAATCTTTGCAAATGGTTTTTCAGAAGAAAAATAATCGTTTAAAGACCTTTGTCTCACGTTGGTTGTTGACGCTAGTCGTAACTCTAAGGCGGAATGTATGCTTTCGCTATCCCATTCAGGGTTAAAATCACTTTTTGAAAACGAATACGTTCTGATTTCTTTTAAAGCGCTTTCGCTGTTTTTAAAATAAATGCCGATTTTTTACTATCTGGTTCGAACCCCACGCTTTCACGTACCGGTTCGTGCCTTAATGAATTTCCCACTGTCGTGGAAAAACTACTGTAAATAATTTCTCGCTTTCGCGACCAAGGTTTATTCAGAAGGTTTAATTAAAAACTACGGCCAGAAAAGAGTTTGTAAAAAGGAAAAGCACTGGTTATTATCGAATCCCGTCTGACTTATTTATTACATACTGATTAGGTGGTTTAGCTAGACATGGTAATTAAAACTTGCATAATTGAACAATGGCAGCAGAATAAAGAAACATGCATTTTTAAACAAACAAAATAACAATTAAATTAATAAAAACCTGAGATAGTACGGTTCTCGGATCTATGGTAGTCCTCCACAAATGTCGGCAGGATTCTACCTTGGCGAGAATTGAATATTCAGGAAGGGAAATACAGAAGAAAGAAAACAATGCAAATTAAAGGAAAGGAAAAGAAAACTGGAAATAAGTTTGGCTTTCGATAACAATTTTGGCAGCACTTCGTTCTCTTCAATGCGGCTCCCCTTTTCTGGTCTAGCACACCTTCTTTTATAGCCGAGGTTCTCCCATAAAAGTCTTGAGGAGTTGGAGTTGAGGGTCAGGAAATATAGGAGAATGTTCCTATATTTTATGGGCTTGCATGGGCACGTTGCTGATACGTTATTCTGTTTTATTTTTGATGTGTGACGAGCGTGAGGGAAGTGTGACGAGCATGGGATGCATGAGGGTCGTGGGGGACCTGTGACGGTTGTCACGGTCGTGAGGGACCTGTGACGGTCATCACACTCACAGATTCTGTCTTTTCTGCTATTTCTGGTCTTTTTCCTTCTGTTTTGTGCTTTTGACTTTTGTTTTCTTCTGACTTGCTCATTTAGGATGTGATCTTCATATACCTGCAAAAACGCTTGACAAATAACTCGGAACAATCCGAAATCGGGGTGA